CTCTCTCCATCCTCCTCTTCCTCCTCCTCCTCCTCCTCCTCCTCCTCCTCCTCCTCCTCCTCCCTCTCCTCGCTGCGTCCCTCCTCCGCCCCTGCCCCTTCTCCTCCTCGCTCCTCCCTCTCTTGTCACGAGCTCTCTCTCTCCCTCCCTCCCTCCCTCCCTCCTCCTCGGTCAGTGAGATCGGCCGGAAGGAGACGAGGTGGGAAAGGGTGCCAGGGACCGAGCCGCGGTAGATTTGTTGCGTCTTATCGGCCGAAAGGAGACGAGGTGGGGAAGGGTGCCAGGGACCGAGCCGCGGTAGATTTGTTGCGTCTTGCTTCGGCGGTGCCTGGGGAGCTTCAGAACCCCGGGGGCCCCCCTGAGCAAAACATCGGGTTCAGTGCGCCAGGCCCCCTCTGCAGTAGGCACATCAAATCAGTAATCGGCGTGCCAGCAGGTGCCCCACTGAGAAATGCCTTGTCCCTCGGTGGACTTCAGGACATTCAGAAATCGAATGGGACTGTGCCCAACTACCTCTTGTACCTTGGGCGGCCAGGGTGGGGGTGATTATTAGGGGGGATATCATGACGGGGGCCATGATATTTCCCCAGATATCACGGCTCCTCTTCTTACTTCAATGCGTCCCCGCCCATCCCCCCCTGGGCCGCGCACTTGCCGCTGGCCATGATTTGCGCACCCCCCTTTTGGACGCCCCGATCCCACCAAGAGTTTTCATCCTATGTGTGCAGTGTGCAGACAAACGCCGGGGCAGAGGAAAGAGGTGCGGCACAAGCTGCGGCACGGCGCGGCGGCGGATCTATGCCAGGTTCGGCTCGAGCGGAGGCCGCCCCAAGTATCCCGAGGAAGAAACAGCTGCATAGACATACATTTTCGACCGGCGTCGCCCCAACATATTTGTACAATATGTACGTCGCCCCCCAAGGGCAACGCGCGCACCAAACAAGTCTTACAGTATGTGCGTCTGGGCGGGCGCTGTCTAGCCACACCGCTCGGGAAACGATGTACTGCAAGGAGGACATATAGTACTAGTAATGTCCCTGCGCGTCCGAAGGTCCACACGGATTTATTGGATCGGCGCCGGGCCGCATTTGGTGCGTGCCTCCGGCGCCGCCTCTGGCGCGCTCCGCGCGCCTGGACTTGGGGTCCGCGCCGATGCCAAAAATCCGCGCGGGCCTCCAAAAGTCGATGCTTATGTCGTTCTTTCTTCCCCCCAGCATCATCAGCTCGGCGGGGCGTGCCTGCTCTTCTTCGAGGGCACGTGGAAGATCACCGCCGTGGGCGCGTCGTACGCGAGCGCGAGCGCCACGGGGCAGCTGCCACCGATGGGAACGTGGCAGTTCGCGGACGGCTCGATTCTGGCGTCTCTCTTTCACTCTCCTCCGCACCTCGCTTGGAAGGACGACTGCAGCACTGAGGCGGTGCAAGGCTCGATACAGGTCCCTGCGCATGTCCTGCACCACTGGGAGGACATGCTCGATGACGAAGAGACGAAGGACGTGACTTTTGAAGCACAGGATGGCGAGGTCCTTGCACACAGTGTCTTGCTGAGGCAGATTTCTGAGCCTTTCAAAGCCATGCTTAGTTCAGGAATGCGCGAGTCTCGCACAAAGATAATCAGTATGAAAGAGTTCACGTGTGCACAGCTGAAGTTTTTCTTGCGGCATGTGTACACTGGGCACAAGGATTCCGTTGATTGGCATGGGAAGGACGACGACCCAGTTCCACCAATAGAGCTCTTGTTGGCATCCTTGCAACTCGCGAAGTCCTACGTTATGCCAAGCATTCTTAGTTGGATCACGGACAAACTGAAGCAACGACTTGAGATCGATACGTTTAACGAGATCACAAGTTGCGCTATTCGCAAGGATATTGGCCCTCTGCGCCTACATTGCTTGTTGTTTGCCAAGGAACATGAGGCGGCCATACGGCGAGTTATGGACCAAGGAAGCCTGAGTCCAGAAGTTGTCTACGAACTCGGGGCGATTTGGAACTGCCCAGATGGGTCTGGACCACAGAGTAAGAAGCGCAGGACGCGAACTGCGCTATGACCATGCATCTTCGACGCTTAGCTGAGCATGCCGCGTCAAGCGCGTGCAGCCACGCGGAAACGATAGCCAGGTATGCGGGCCGTGTTGAAAAGTACGGTTGGCAACGAACTCCAGAGTTTCGTTGAAATCGGGTGAGTCCTCTCTGGTTTGTTGTGTTTTTGGGTCGAAGTTAAGTTTTGACCAGGCATGCCATCGCCAGGTCCCGTCGAAGAATTGGCGGGGGTGCGTCTCAAAAGTTTTGCGGATGTCCCCAAGCAATTCCGACAGGTCGCACCAAATGTCAGCAGGCCGCTCGTTGAACGTATGTATATGTGTCTTGGATTCCCAGATACCGCTCTACTAGACACACCATCCCACTTCAAGAGTCGTGGCTGCCTATCTTAATAACTTATTGCTCGGCCAGGCCGATACCCAATCTCCTTTCACCGCCTCCTTCGTGCTCATTGATTCTGCAAGCTTCTTCCCGACGGCTTGCAATGATGGGGATGCAGGTCTGGAAGACTTTTTGCGAAACCTCAGCGGGGCGCTGCCATGGAAGAGAGGAGGGGCCTGCCAGCCACCCCACGGAGTTTGCCGAAAGAGGGCTCGATACCTTGAGCCATCCTGGGGTTCCAGGCAGTCGGGTGCTGCTAGAAGTGCCCATGGCTCAGGGTGCCCCCAGGAATTTCCAAGGAGGCCCCCACGGCCTCCAGAGCTCATCTCGCGAGGCCCCGAGGGCCCCAGGGGCTCCAGACTTGAGCGGAAAAAGCAGGAGGCGCCGTGGGCCCGGGGGGCACCTTTTCACAGCCCAAGGGACAGGGCGTCGCCACCCAGGAATCGACAAGCCGCTTCCTCCTCTTCTCTTCACTGGGGGGCCAGCGGAGGCCAGGGATGCAGCAAGGCAGCTCCCCCCCCAAGAGACGTCCCGAAGTTTTTGTGTTGGCACCGGGCTTCACCGCAGAGCGGGTCGTGGGTGTGTCCATTCTGGCACTGCTCGAGTCGGGGATCGACTAGAGAGCTGATTTGCCCCAAATTGATTTCTCTTCGAGTCATACGTAGAATGTTCGTAGATCTACGAACCTTCTACGCATTTCTCATGTAACGAGCGAACAGCTCAATTGTGGGGTAAATCAATTACGTAGTCGATTCCCGACTCGAACTACAGAGGATGGCTCGGACAGGATCGATAGACGGCCGCATTCTGCCGCCATCTTCCCAACTGAAATATCCGTGGCTTGAGAGCTGACTGGTAGTCCTCAGAACGTGTGTTAGCCCAGTGTACGTTTGCCCCGTTCAGCTCCGCCGATCGCACGCAGCTCGTGTCGGCCCTTCTTACACCAGCTGCGACGTACTGAGGGGCGTCGGTGGACAAGAGCACTCTGGCGCTAGCACATGCCCTGAGTATCATCGGGGCGACAGTCGGTCCGGTCGTGGGGCCTCTGCGGGACTATCCTGGCGCCCCTTTGGAGTCCATCCGGGGACAGGGTCGGGGCAGCCCGCGCACGGCCTGCCTCTCCTGGAATCTCGGTGCATCGATCTTCTCTACCGACTATCGGGTCGGACGAGAGGGGGGGGGGCAGAGAAGGCGGGGGGGGGCGGGGGGCGGAGTCTGCCGCGCGCAGCTGGCTTCGGCCCGCCGCCGGGCGCACCCCTCGATGCATGTTGGCGCCAGGAGGCGCTGGGAAAGCCAGTTGTGTGAGCTGCTTCCCGCCCATCCCCGGCATTCATCCTCGGGCTTTGGTCGTGGGGCCCCTTGGGGGCTCTCTCGGGCCGTCTGGGAGCCTTCCTGGAGGCATATGGGGTTTCCTTAGACCAAGGTTTATGTGTTTTGTTGTTGTTGTTGTTGGGTCGCCGTAGGCCGCGTGACAGGCCAAGAAGCGAAAGTGCTAACCGACCCGACCTTGGTCGTGGGCGAAGAGCACATCCATGTCCACGGCCTGACGGGCTGGGCCCTTGGGCCGCGACCCAGTGGACACGGGGCGTTCTCTCGCGGGCGCCCCGCGCGGGACGTGTCCATGCGACCGCGTGTCCGCGGGGTCGCCCCCGGGAGCCCAGACTGCGAGCGCGTGGGTATGGATACGTTCGCCGCTCGTGATTCGAACGCCCGGGTACACCAAGTGTTCAGAAGCTCGTTTTACTTGGGAGGACGCCCTTGGCTTCGCAGCCTCGTGGGGCCGCAGAGTGGACATTATCGGGGCCGCGTGGCTGTGGTGCCAGGGCGAGCATTTTCAATTCCCTGGCGTCCCACACATGGCCACTCCCACGGAGCATGAGACTGAGGAGGGGGAGGACGGCGAGAACGAGTAGGAGGAGGATGAGGTGGAGGAGGAGGAGGAGGAGGAGGAGGAGGAGGAGGAGGACGAGGAGGAGGAGGAGGAGGAGGAGGAGCATGCATCAACGAACCTGGAGCCACCAGCCTGAACCCGATGGGGAGCGGGAGGCGGATGATGAGGAGGCAGATGTCCCCTCATCCGCCCCAAGGCACGGCGAAGGCCACCCCCCAAGACTTCAAACGTCTCCTCGAGCCTCGACCTCCTCGACTCTCCTGCATCCTTGACTCCTCCTCCTCCTCCTCCTCCTCTCTCCTCCTCCTTCCTCCTCCTCTCCTCCTCCTCCTCCTCCTCCTCCTCCTCCTCCTCCTCCTCCTCCTCCTCCTCCTCCTCCTCCTCCTCCTCCTCCTCCTCCTCCTCCTCCCCCCTTAGACCCGCCGTCGCGAACAAAGTTGAAGCATCCGATTGAACCCCTCAGACCCTATCTTGCCGCACTCTTCGTGCCAGTTCTATATGTAAGGGCCCCTGCCCCGAAGCCACACTCGAGGATAGTAGTTAGGATTCCGAATTTCACAGTGCTACCCTGGCGCCCCTGCTCGTTGGGCCAGAAGCCGGTAATTTTTGGCCGGATGTCGTCAGCATCTCAGCGTGAGCGTTCACTGGTCTTGCACCCTTCCGTTGGAGCCGGACCGTCGATTTTGGCTGTAAGCGCATCAGCTCGACGTGAAAGAAACTTTTACGCCCAGATCTGAAGGCGCCCCTACCGGGGGGGGACAGTCCGTCGTCTTCGACTGTCGCCCGGGAGGGCGACGAGTGCCCCCTGGTGGCCGGGATGCAGGGAAGTCGCCCAGCTTGGGAAAACCAGTGCGCCCAAAGTCTGGGCCCTCGCTCGATCCTCCCGACTCCTCGGCTCGATCCTGCTTCGATCCCCCTCGACGCCTCCTCCATGCTGGTATCCTCGACCCCCCCCCTCCTCGATCCTCCTCGACACTCCCTGGACTCCTCCATCCTCCTCGCCTCCTCCTCTCCTCCTCGACCCTCCTCGATCCTCCTCGACTCCTCCCCCCCCCCCCGCTGGTGCCCCCGGTTCGGATGTAACTCCTGAGAGGTCAAATTCTGATCTAGCCCTGCTCCGAAATCCGTCTTAATCCGGCTTGATCCCGCTTAATCCGGCTAAATCCCGCTTGCTCCCGCTTAATCCGGCTTGATCCTGCTTAGTCCGAGGCCCATTCCGGCGTAACAGCTCCCAAATGGGGCTTCATCCTCAATCTTTCTGACGAAAGCTTCCCAGTAGTTGCCTCCTAACCCCCGAGGACGCCGCCCTCGCGGCGGAGGCCGGGAGCCCAGAGGCCCAGCCCGCGAGCGGCGCCGAGAAGGCCGCCGCGCGGACGCCGGCGAAGACGCCGTCGGCGGCTGCACCGGCCGCGGGCGCCGAGAAGGCCGGCACCACGCTGCCTCCTATTTGTATTCCTCCTCCTCCTCCTCCTCCTCCCCCTCCTCCTCCTCCTCCTCCTCCTCCTCCTCCTCCTCCTCCTCCTCCTCCCCCCCCTCCTCCCTCCCTCAAGCCACTTGGGCTCGAGCACCAAGTCCTCCGCCCCGACGGAGGCCCGTGTTCTAGTCCATCCCAGTGCCTTCGTGCGGCGCTTGAGGGATATCTTCACCTGTCTGTCCCCCACATTCAGTTGAGGATAACGAGAGCTGGGAAAATTCATTGCATCAATATGGGCAAGCCACAGAATGTGCAGTCTCAACGTGCATGGTCGCGGTGCAGCCACTGCAAGACATGCGAGTACAACGATCGCCTGCAGATGAGCGACAATCGGTGCCCACGCTGTTCTCACAAAGTTCGCTTATTCGTTCACAAGCCCAGTCGGTCGAGGTCCCCCAGTTCGGAGCGAGGGGATCGGCACGTGCACTTCGAGGACGACAAGGTGGGCACCCCGCGCGGCGGTCGCCGTGGCGGCCAGGGTGGCAAGGCCACTCAGCAGCAGGAGGTCGCGGCGCTGCTGGAGCAGGCGTTGGCCCAGTCAGCAGATGCCGAGTTCAAGGCAGTGCTGAGGGCGCAGAGGGAGCGGCTCGCCAGCCAGGCGGCCGCCTCAGCTCCCTCGGACGTCGACCAGGTCAAGCAGGCCGATGGGGCGCTCAAGGCGGCGACCAACAGGCACGGTCAGCTCGTGGAGCAGGTCATGCGCCTGCGCAAGCAGCTGGCCACGGCCGAGCAGAAGGAGCAGAGCGCGGCTCTGGAGGTGGCCAAGTGTGAGGCCACCAAGAAGGCAGCCACAGCAGCACTCGCCAAGGGTGCTGGCTTCCGCCCGTCGCCCAAGGAGGCCGACTCGGAGGCTGCGTGTTTCGGGCTCAATCTCAACGAGGAACTCTTCGCCTCTTTCGAGCAGTGGGACTGCGACGAGACGGAGAAGGCTAAGCTCAGGGCTCTCAAGGAGGAGCTCGAGGCCTATCGGACCACCATCCAGGCGAAGGACGCGGAGTGGAAGTCTTTCGTCGATCGTGTCAAGAGCGAGCAGAAGGCGGTGCAGGAGCGCATGGCCAAGAAGCGTCGCGGGGCCGACGGCGCCGCTGCGGGTGCTGGCGACGGCGGCGGCATCAGTACCGCAGCCACGGGCGCGGGCGAGGTCGCCGCGCCCCCTGCGGCAGCTGGTGGTGGCGCAGCCGCCGCCGAGACCACCCAGGCCGACGACGAGGCGCTCAAGAAGGAGGCTGAGCGCTTGTCGAGGGCGCGCTTCGCGGCGCAGGAGGCTGCCGCCAAGGAGAAGGAGGCTGCCGCCCAGGCCGCCAAGCAGAGCGGCGACGGGGTGGCCGCTTCGTGACTAGGTTCCACAACTACTACGAGGGCGTCTTCGCAGGCGCCAGGGGCTTCCAGTATGACGGGTACTGGTGCCACAACTTTGGGGTTTGAGGAGTGCAGTACGTCCGAGGCGACATCAACTGCGTCTCCGCCTGCAGCCACCACTTCGACGTCGACAACGGCTACGAGTGATGCTGCTCGGTCATCCTTCCTCTTCTTTGCGAACGTGAGCTGCGTGGGCGATAAGGCTTGGGGGCGCATCCGTCTCTTGCAGCGCTCTTCGTATGATTATATGTCACTTTGTGAAACACACACTTTGCCAGCAGCAGTTGTAGGTTGGAAAAAGAAGGCCAAACAGTGTTCGCTCAAGCTTCTAGTCAATCCAGCTAGGCCAAAGGCCAAGCTCAGTCAGCAGAGTTGCGAAGGAGGGGGATTCTTCTATGCTAAGAATCACTTGCCTGTTCAGGTGTTGGACGCTGCGAAGTCAGCACGCGGATTGCGAGCAGATCGCGGTTCGGCTTTTGACGGGTTTCTTCCAGTGGTCTTGCACCTAAAAGGGTTCTCCCTGGTCTATGTCGTGTTCTACGGACACTCGTCTATAGGTTTTCGGGATCAGAATGTTTCGCGGTTTCGTAAGCTTGCCAGTCTAGTCGCCAGTCTGCAATTGCCCTGGGTCATTGCAGCAGATTGGAATTTTAGCCCCAGCGCCCTGGTAAAAACTGGTTTTCTGGAGCGCACTGGGGGGCTGATTTTGTGTAGCAATGCCGATTTCACTTGCACTCCTGGGGGGGGTCAGAAGCCATCTCACCTCGACTATCTGGTGGTTTGTCCTTCAGCTAGGGCGTACATTCGAGCTGTCACTGCTGTTTGTGCCGTCCCATGGAAACCACACATCGGATTGTGCATCGAGTTAGTGTCGACTGGCAGTCAACTTTTCACCCGCTTTCTCGAGCTCCCCCCGAGGCTTCCCCGAGTCTCCAGGCCTTCGAAGCAGGCGGTCGAGGGGTCCAAGTCTAGTGTAAATAAGGCCAAGAGGGATCTCGCTAGGCAGGCTGCTCGCGAGAAGAGGCATGCGAAAACTCGAGAATGGTTTGGAGAGAGTTTAGAGTCCCGTCGGCAGGAAGGTGATGAGAGCCAGGAGGGTACAGACGACGAGACCGACAAGGCCTCGGATGCCTCCAGCTACCATCGCGCCGCTGATTGGGACAACATCTCCGAGTACGACCCGTGGGCTGACGAGAGCAACTTCACCGCTGTTGCGCCGCCCGCGGCCCCGCCTGCTCCTGTCTTGCACGCCTCTCTCACAGTCGAGTCTCACACAGCCGCACCTCAGCCTCAGGAGACCGAGCGCCCCCCGAGCACAGCGCCCAGCCCTGCAGATGGAGAGGTCCACGGGTCTCACGCCTTGGAGGTGTTGTCTCAATCGGTGAGCTCAGAGTCCCCCGTGGAGTTTTCAGTCAGCGGTGAAACCTGGGTGCAAGCGAGGAAAAACGTCGGGTTCGTCCCGAGTGCGGCCTGCCTGCCTGCTGATGCTGTTGCCGACTCCGTAGCTTTTTGGCTAGGGCCCCAGGATTCGGCAGCCCCACACATCAGTGCACTTTATTGTAGCTGGGCCCGCACGGTGGAAGAGGCAGTCCACGCCCACCACCAGCAGGCCACTCCATCCTTGTCGCGAGGGCAGGCGGCGAGGTTTCGTATCGGCACGGTGCAGCAGTCGACGGCTCAGAGGCTGGAACCACTGCACGACAAGGTTTGTGGCTGGTGGACACGGCTGGCTACCGCACTTTCGGCTCTGCTCCAACATCGCCGTCGGGACAGCGGTTGCAAGCAGCAGGGCATCCTCATTCAGGCTATCGGTGCGCTCCACAGGGCCATGCCCGAGGGGGCGCATCGAGTGCTTCGGAGGCGGGACCCCCACACCTGGTCACAGTGGAAGTTGTTTCTGCAAGTGGTGGTGTCAGGCGATCCCTCCGAGGCAGACTTATCGAGTGGTTGCGAGTTCGCCAACAAGCTTGCCAAGCGGAGTCAGCAACGAGCAATACATCGATATATTTCTTCCTTTCGTGACTGGGCCGATTCGGCACCAGCCGTCAGCGCCCTGCACAGGGCTATAAGGTCCTCGCCTCTGGTCCCCGATTCAGTCGAAGTTGGTAATCGAACACTCATCCATCCGAGAGACGTGCTCGATTATAAAACCCAACAGTGGCGTGAGTTGCGGGCCCCACAGGGGGAGGACCATGAGCAGCTGCTTGACCTCTTTGGCGTCATCAGGCGCCGCGTCCAGGAGGAGGCACTGCCGCCCATCGAGGTCGCCGACCTTCGTGCAGCGCTTCGACGTATGAAGCCCTCCTCGGCGATGGGTGTTGATCGGCTGTGTTCGTTGGATGTGGATCGCCTGCCAGACATAGCGCTGGCCGAATTGGCTGCGCTGCTCACACTATGTGAACAGCATCAAGTGTGGCCACATCAGATTTTGATCACCATCGGTACATTATTACCAAAGAAGAACAATGGAGATCGAGTTATAGGGCTCCTTTCGCATTTCGCGAGGATGTGGCCACAATCACGAGAAGGTTTTGTGAAAACATGGACGGACGAGTGCGAGTCGCACTGGGATGCCGCAGTGCGCGGCAACTCAGCTGTTCGGGAAGTTTTTCTTCGGGCTGTCGACGAAGAACTGGCTGGGCGACTTGGAGTTGCGCACGGGCATGGAATATGTGATATAGCTCAATTTTACGATAGTGTGGGTTGGCATCGCATCGCTGCAGCTGCTCTTCGTTTGGAGTTCCCCGCAGAGATCCTTGGACTTGAACTTCAGCAATGCATGGCTGTGAGGTGCGTTCGCCAATCAGGTGCATACGGGCCCCCATTTTCCCCGACGCGCTCCATCGTGCAGGGGCTGAGGGCAGGAACGAGGTTCGGTAAATGCGCCACACATTTTATCATGCCCAGGATCACCACCGCTCACGTGAACATGTCACATCGTTTGTGGGTGGACGATATGTCGCAAGTTGCTCGGGGCTCTAGACTTGAGATGCGGCGGCAGATGATCAGATGCCTCCTCGACACTTGCCAGCACGTGGAGTCGGCAGGGCTGAAGATCTCTCCCAAGAGCGTCGTGATCTGCAGCCACATCGATGATGCCCGCATCATCATTCGTAGAGTTGCAGCTCGCGGGTACAAGCTCAAGTACGCCAGCCAAGCTCCCTACCTTGGTGCTGATTTGAGTGGAGGCCGCAGGCAGGGTCGAGCAACACGAAGGTCACGTGCCGTCAAGCACTATGCGATGTCGGTCAAGATCACTCGGTATGCTCGCACACTTCGGCGATATCGAGTTACTCGTCGCCTCGAGCAGCAAGGAGCGGCTCCCGCGGGGCTCTACGCACATCATCTCCACGGCGTCTTCGGGGGCCAGATGGCGTCGGTGAGGAGGCAACTTGCCAACGCGTCAGCCCCGAGGTTGACGGGCAGGTGCGTCACCACGCTCCTCGACCTCAAGACACCGCTGAGGGATCCTGCCTACAGGCTCCCGCTGGACACGCTGAGGATGTGGCTGACCACGTGGGTGTCTGAGGCACGTCTCAGAGCTGGCGTGAACCGCACCTGGACGGACATCGTTCGGGAGTTGGCGGCCCT